ATGTGTATAGATACAGGCACACATGTCCACACATTCATTCTGTACATATACAAAGGTACATGTACATTTTTACAGTCTTTGGTGGCAAAATAATAAAAAAAACCCCAACAAACCACAAGGTTGCACAGACTGTGCGTCTTTGCTTAATGAATCCTCTTCAGGAAAATTAAGGTTGCTGTAACAGGAGTTATTTTGCCTCTTTAAGGACTGTTCCTTGCATTGACAAAATGCCACACATTTACAATGAGCAAAACAGGGCATGAGGAAAGCCAACGTAAACACAGCTCACATAATGACAGATAACTTGGAGAACGCCCCCTTCTACCCACACCATGAGAAGCAGCAGCCATATGCTTTCACCTACAAGCACTCAAACGCTTCCTCAGTTACTGTCCGGACGTTGGGCTGAGCTGTGGCACACCCTTCTTCTGCCCTGGCTGTGGGGTTTTGCTTTTTGTTGCTTATTAAAATCGAACTAACAGAGGACGGGATGTTGGGAGCAGCAGAGGAGGCTGGCAGGTCAATGCCAGACCAGAGGGTTGTCAGCCTGTGTGCTTCAGATGAACGGCTCTTCTTGTCGCCACCTCTGGGACGTCAAACCTGCATCTCAGAGGTGCTGATGAGGCCCAGTGCTTTGGCTTCTTCTGGTGTCAGTCCGCTCTTTAGTGTCCTTCTCACTGGATGGTCATAAATTCCAAAAGCAGAGGAAAAAAACACCCAAAAACAAAAACAAAGAAAATGCAAACAATTAGAAGTGATAATTACACAAGCCTTTCAGCTGAAAAAAGCCCTGTTAACATGCAAGCTGAGTCAAATCACAAGTTGCTATGTACTCAGGGCCTCAAGTTCAGAAATACCGAGTAATGCTCTATGCCAAATCCATGGGAGCATCAAGTACCCAGCAACTCCAAAGTCAGCAAAAAAATGTTTGTCATTGACACTTAGCCTTTGAAGGAAAAATATCACAGCATGTTAAGATTCTTTTTTTCTTTGAAATTTTAACAGTTGACTTTCAGTCCATAGAAAGTATCATCTGCCCTATTATTTTATAGTTTCATAAAGATTTTTTAAAAGTGCTTTTGGATCTTTATAGGGCTCAATTGAATTTATCATTATTAAATCCTACGTGACTCTTTAAAGGTGTAAAAAAACAACCCCAAAAGTTAAAAGATTAAAAATGTGACTATTTTAGAGTTGATTCAAATAATTAAAACTGTTGTCTTCATACATGCTCCCCTTTCTTCTGTAAAGTTCCCCCATCCTAGCTGCATTCGTGTCCTCTTTGCTATGCAGCATTGTCTGCAGCGTTTTAGTTGAATTTAAATGATAAATCTAGGCCAAAATCTTGTTTCTTAATTTTCTATGAAGTGTTCTGAACATTAGCCCCAACATAAATCTTTTAAAATTTGTGATTGCCTTTTTTATTCAGAAACAAGTGACTACATGACTGCACACACTGAGCATTAGTGCACTCCTAGTTTTTCTGATGTCATAATTTTCAGGTGAATAGGCTTTAGGTCAAGACACAGGTGGGTATTTATTCCATACTGATGTTCCTCAAGTACAAAACGCACATTCAGAAGTTTAAGCTGTATGCAAAACATAAATATGACTTCATGTTGAACAAAATATATTTGGAGCCCCAAAATAAACAAGTCTAGAGGAAACTTAGCGAAACTAATTGCAGACAGACGTTAAGGACTTCTTGCCTCGCTATCATCTAGCATAATTAAGACCTTTAACTTATTAAGATACTCAGTCCATGTAACTGAAACTGGGTGGTCACACTCAAGGGTCTAGCGGGAGTGAGAGGAGAGAATGGCTTGGTACAAAAAACAGGATTAGAGAAAGGGAAAATACGGTGTAGTCAAACATTTGATACCACGCAGGTAGGACGAATGTGATCTATTTTTGATAGTCAAACCGCTTTCACCAGTTGCTGAGGTTAATCAATGAGCTGGAAGTGCCACATGTGTAACTGTCCCTCCATTATCAAACCCTTACTTGAAAGCTTTTCTTCAAGGCCCTGTTCTGTTTTCTGCAGTATCTGCATACTTAATAAACACCAGTAGGAGTCTGCATGACAGCCTGTTATGACAGCCACTTTTTCCTACGATACTGATCACCAACATCTTCCAAGTTTAACAATGTTTAGCTTAAAGCATTACAAGGTTAAATGCAACTGATAAACCTAAGATTAAGAAAGACTAAAAAAGTACCACCAGAACAGGAATACACTTCAAAACATGCTCTGGTCTCCATGGTGCAGAATACCCAACATGGAATTTTGAGTCAGTCCTCATCACTGGCAGCCTTTTATACTTCTTAAATTTGATATCCAAATGTCCATGGTGACAAATGTTGATTTCTAGACATAAGCTACGAAATACTTTAGAGTCTTAAGTTCTCAGTGAATGACGCAATGCTTATTTCTATATCAAAATTAACTGTATCAGGAGTGAAAGAACAAACACAAGAAAGATACAGCAGTCTCGTTAAAAGCAAAGATTGTCCTGTGCAGTTCACCTGCTTACCTGCCTGTGCTGCCTCTCCCCTAAACATATCTTTTTCTGTATCCTCTATAACATGCAGCCAAACGCAGACCATAGCTAGCTTGGCCATCAAAAAGTAGAGTCATGTTAACATAGACTAATACAATTGATTTTCAGAAGAGCTTATCAAAAATCAGCCAAAGGTCTCTGTCACCAGACTCAAAAGTAGGATTGGGCATTGCTCCCTAAGTATTCCTCCTTTGTGGACTTGAATTATCCATAGCAGCTATACTGTTGAACCAAGGAAACTGTCCATCATGAGAGAAAAAATATGTGTACAGGACATCGAACTTTCACAGGATAGCTGTCTAGATGACATGACATCTCCCCACTGAAGGCAAAAGTGAAGGTAACTGAATGCAGAACGAATTTCCACATTTTAGACACTTTTGCAGAAGTGTCAAACCAAACGTATCCATGACTGTTCTCAAACATATCCTCAACTCTCTCAGACCAGGATCACTCACATTTGCAAACTGAGCACAATAACCACTGTAAAACATAGCTATTTTTCTTTTCAGGAAGAGTGAGGGAACAAGCAATTGTTATTCCTGTTTGTAAACTTTTAATAGGAGGTGGTCTGCTAATGCGGGCCATGTACCGGAATAAGCAAAATTCTGGTCTTATTTATGACAATGTAAATCTGGAATAGCCTTCTTCAGGTCAGTACAGTTACTACTCCACAAACAACTGGGACTGAGACTCTGTCTAACAACTGAAAGGGAAATGTGTGCCTCTGTAACTTCCACCAAGCAGAATACAGTTGTCTAAATTCCTCCATCAGCCTGAGTTATGGGATTAGTAGTTTACTAGGAAAAGCCAAATGGATTTACAATAACATATAGGACTCTCTGAAGAAAAAAAAAAAGGGGGTTTATATTTGGAAGTCATAATCAGGAGTTCGAATACCATGGTAGAAACCATCTTCATGGAAAAACAAGGAAGAAAAGTCTTCTTTACATAAGCAAGATTTGTCTGTCAATTTCCAGATACCTACCTACCAAACATACTAAAGTCTTAGTCTGAGTATCTCGTGTATAACCCTCAGATGACTGAAAAAAAGAAATACTGTATGCAGCACATGACAAGGACAAGTGCCCTGTTCTGGGTTTGCTGTATGACTCACACAATGGAGGCCAACCCCGGGTTTGTACTTTTTCTGCCACTGCAAAACAAGTAGGAATAATACTTAACAAATTGCTGAGACATACGCAGCTGTAATTAAACAAATCAATCAGATTCCAGACTCAAATGAGTGAATTCTTGCCCCTACGATGCAACAGGCCAGTCTGACACAGATGATCTACTTGTACTTTGAAGTATTTTGTACTTAGGGAGATGAAAGTGGCCTGATAAAGGGTCTCTTTATACGAAAATTATATCTAACATGTGCAAATTACTTACAGTACATTTCCTCATCTGAAGACAAAGCGGATGGATGCGGTATCAGTAGTAACACAAGGAAAAGTTCCTGCCCCACTATTCTCTGCACTGGCTTGTAGAATATGGAGATTTGTGGGCGATGAAGTCAGGAGAAAGTCGAGTTATCTACAGGAGCAGGGACTACTCTGGGAAATATGTGAACCTTGTCTTGACATGCTGTTAAACAGATGTCCTCAGACATTTGTCTGTTTCCTCATAAGGCACTTGGTAGGGTTCCTTTACCTTATGAAAGGCCACAAACACATTCAGTCATCAAAATTGAATGCAGAGAGGTATTCTCCTTCCATGTTTTATAGGCATTGCAAAATTACATTTCTCAAAGTAGATCTTCACTCTCCCCTCTTCACTGAACTCTGTCGTGTCTCTAACTGGACTAGACATAATATCTTGGCTTGTAAAACTCTTGGCCTGCTGCAGATCACATTAAACTGAGTTATGGAATGTATTTTGGAGGCAGTGACAATAAAAATAAGACTTTCAAATGACCTTTTAGGTTCTTCAAGCAATTTTTAAAACATTTGCTAAAGAAACATAACAGGGAGAGAAAATAACTTTTACTCTTGTCACAAGCAAGGCCCGCTGAGATCCCATTACTAAGAAACTAAATGTTGTTTTTCTGGGGTCAGAGGGTATGATATTCTTTGCTAATCAGGAAATCTAGAATTTTATTTGATATCTTTGCAGAATGCAGGGTGCTTATGATGAACTTGATGAATTTGACTCTGCCTGTTGGGTCAAAATCTACACAGATACAAAGCCCTCACAGTACACTGGGAATATTTAAAAATAGACCAATTTCCTAAGTGTAGCTTTGTCAGAGAATACAATTATCTAGGGGTTGGTTGTTTTTTAAAGAGAAAATAGCATTTCTTATTTCCTCTCCCCCACCTTTTTTTTTTTTTTTAAATATGCAATGAACAGTAAAGATCAGTCTGGCTGGTGCCATTTATTCTTGCATTTGCAATGGCTTTTAGCATTGTGTCTGCACTTGTATGGAAGAGTCACTTGAAATTAGGAATAGATACGACCATTCTCCTGCTCAAGAAGTCACAGAATTAGTGCCATTCCTGTTACAAGAAGTGGCAGACACAGAACTTTGGTGGCTGTGACATAAAGAGGAAGTGGAAAAGGACAAAGTGGCATTTTGTAAGGCAAGCTTAACTTGTGTTCCATCTCCAGATGGCTTACGTTTCAGGGAACAAAAAGGAACATTGCTTTAGAGAACCTGGGCTGCATGAAGAACACATGGGTTTTAAAGTAATATTTAACACACAGTTGAAATCTTATAGTTTCCAACTTTATGCGTTTGACAGTCTACCACTTACATAGTCCCAACAGTAAAACAGAAAAGAAGATTTAACTCCTTCCTTGAAAGCCTTCTATGACAAAAAATCCCTATCAGGACTTCTGTGAATTCCACTGAAAAAAAGTTACTACTAAAAGCAATCCTGCTGCCATCCCTTTCGTAATTTCTCCCACTTAACTTCACCAGTCAGAACCGATTCCACCATTAAAAGCTAAAGCATCAAGAGCATACAGCTCACCAACAACTGACTCTGCATGTAAGCATTATGAACTATTTTCAAGATCAGACTGTCCATTAACAATGCACAGGACAAAAAAAAAAAAAGGCAGGAGATGAGATACAGAAAGTCAGCCATCTAACACAAGTGTGTTGGGCA